GGCAGAAATGGGTTTGAAAATTGGCCCCCCAGATCTCCGGACTTAACGCCACTAGATTTCTTTTTGTGGGGTACATAAAAGGAATTGTCTACCATGCGCTTCCGACAAGTTCACACGATTTGAAAACACGCATAAGAGACAAATTTAAGTGCAATCGATCAACAACCGGGCTCAAAGTTAGCGCTTCAGAACAATTGCATCCTCTGCTTCAAAAATTCCTCCCTTCCGATCTGTTGCTTCAGAACAACAAATCGTGCCCGACAGCCCGCCCAGCGTCTACATCCAAGCCGTCTGCGACTCGATGAAGAAGCAGATCATCTCCAGAGCCTTCTACGGCTGGCTGGCCTACTGCCGACACTTGTCCACTGTGCGGACGCATCTGAGCGGCCTGGTCAACGGCAAAATCATCAACGGCGAGGGCGCCTCAGAAGGTAACCCGCTTCTGAACCCCTCCAGCTCAGCAGCGCCGTTCAACCAAACTCCCCCCACAGGAATCACTGTGGAGAAATGGACGCAACTGTGCGTGGACGGCGTGGTGACCGACGCAGACGAAGTGTACCGATTCACCTACTTCGGGGGCGTGGCCAACGAGCTCAGAACGGAAATCTGGCCGTACCTGCTCGGCCATTACAAGTTCGGAAGCACCGCCGATCAGCGGCAGAACCTGGCCGAGGAGACCAAGCAGGCCTACGAAAATACGATGTCGGAGTGGTTGGCTGTGGAGGCGATCGTGAGGCAGCGGGACAAGGAGGACCAGGCGCATGCGATTGCGAAGCTCAGCAGTGAGAGCATGTCGGGCGACCAGATGCCTGACGGCCTCCAGCGGGATCTGAGCAACGAGGTCAGAACACTCTAGAGCCTACGCCGGCTTCTTCCCTAATCCCCGCACAATTAGGTGTTTGAGGACGTGCTGACGGAGGACGAGGACTCACTGTCCGAGCAGGAGAAGCTCCATGAAGAACCCCATGAGAAAACGAAGGAAAACACCATCAGGTACCAATGTGAGGACCTGGACGCTGATGCCCCGCAGCCAGAGGATCTGGAACACGGTCCTGCCACCAAAGAGGTTTTGAGTAGGAGTAGGAGTAGGAGTAGGAACTCCAGTCTGGAGCTGGATGAGGCGAGCTGCCACAGGCCTGAGGGTAAGTCGGCTGCAATCAAGGGGGTGAAGTTATGAACCGTGGCTCGCGATGCAGCCAATGGCGACGTTGAGGCCCAAGACTTTGTGCACAACGTCATCGTGACCAACGCCTCCATGGACATCAGCGCGCTGGAAAGCGAGGACATCCCAGCCAGGAACCACATGGACGTGGTCACAGAGGAAAACAACTCGTCCCTGGACGCCTGCATCGAAACGCATGGGCTGGCCAGCCCTCTGAGGTCGACCTGCGCCTCCCCTGCCAGCTCCAACGGCGGCATCTACAGCGTGAGTCCATTTGCTCTCTTTTGTAGGTAGTGCCCACATAGCAACATGATATTCCCAGAATATACCTGGAACATTCATGGGATGTACATGCATATTCCTGGGACATTATGAACATTCCAGGTATGTCCCAGGAATATGTCAGAGTTAAAACACTGAATGTTCATGGTATCAGACTATGAAGGCTTTCACGGCCGATCAGATTACATTTAGGAATGTTGTCCGGGCTTTGAAGCCGTGGT